GCTTGGCCTCTGGGTGGGGGCTACGGCAGGGCCTGCAGCCACCCCAAATTTTGCCATGGCTCCGTACACCTGCCACCGTCACTGCCCAGCACATCCCCAGCTCTTCCCGGTGCATGAGGGCAGGCTGGGGTTGAGCTGCAAAGAGCCAGGGATGTGCCAAGTGTGTGGCAGCAGTGTTAGGAGTGAGCTATGGTGAAATTTGGGGTGGCTGTAGCCCCTTCCATAGCACCCACCCTGAGCCCAGACCCCAGCAAGAAGAGCATGGTGTAGCCCCGGCTCTAGCCCGCAGCTGCAGCCCACCCACCCTGCCCTACACAGATCCAGGAGCACATACTGTCACGCCCCCCTCCCGCCCCACGTGCCTTCCTATAGTGCGCACAGCTGCAGGAGCCACCCCCCACCTGACAAACCATGGGTCCATCCTGTGCCCCACCACAGCTGGCACCTGTTCCCTCCCTCACTGTGGGGGGTTGATCTGCCCCTTCCTTGCCCCCTCCCCTTCCACCAGCTGGATGTAGCTCTCCATGCTGCCAGGTTGTGCTCCTCGCTGCCTGAGTGCTGCACTTTGGCTGTGCACACACACACAAGCATTTATTGGCCAATTTATCAGGCCTATTGGGCCTGATACAGCCAATTTTCTTTATAATCGGTACCAATCCAATATCAAACCAATGTACTGGTGCATCGCTATCCATTACCTCTGTGGCACTTGCCCTGCACAGCCAGACCTGCACCCTGGATCTGGCTAAATGGGGAAGCAGGGAGATGACATCCCCCCTTATACTGCATCATCAAGGAAGGGACATGGGGTCATTTGTGTTTTACCCAGGATCACCCATGCCACAATATATCACTACACAGCTGATCTGCTTCATTCAGCAGCATCTATTTTTAGCCTCAGTGTCTCCAGAAACCATAAGACTGTAGACTGAACTCCCAAGACCTGAACATAGGCATTGGCAGATGAATGAAAGAGGAATGGACTGAAAAGAATCCAGTCCTAAACTTCAATGTATTTGTAACTCTTCTAGTCCCCAAAAGAACTATTAGGCTCAGATAAGAAACTCATAAGCTTATGCTAAAGTGCAACTGAATTTGCTGGGATTCAAGCAAGACTTAAAATGAAGCTTATCTTTAAATTTTGAATAGGGATGTAATGATTTAACGATCTTTTGCAAATTTTTGCTGTTCCCACCCTCTAAAACCTGATAAAAAGCAGTAGGTAGGCAGAATTATTAGCATTTAAAAACAGCTAAGTGTGTCTAAGGGAAGATGCAAGTACAGGCAGTTCTCGACTTACAACGTTTCAAGTTACGTTTCTCACTTACAACGTTTATAAATTGACACCTTGTTTCAACTTTACAATGCCAGTTTCGACTTTACAACACTTGAGCCGATGCAACGCCACACCAGCGAACAAGTTCGCTGTGTCACTCATTTCCCTGGAGAATATCTGTCCAAACTTCCTTGGACACTTTCTTTAAGAAAGCAGACAAGACTCCAGAAAAAGCTGAAGCCAAGACTCCTGAGAAGACTCCAGCCAAGAGCCCTTCAAAAAGTCCAGCAAAGTCACCTCAGAGAAGTCCTTCCAAATCAGTATGATTGTTATTTACAATATAAATACATTAATGTAGCTATATTACTCATCTATAATTGATCGAGTACAAAATTCTGGGGTATTTTGGGTGAAAACAGGGTATCGGGACTTGGCTCAAGAACCAATCCCCCATTTATAACATTGTATCTTATGAGAAAATTGGTTCCAAGTTACAACATTTCAACTTAAGACACAGTTTTCAGGAACCAATTGTGTTGTAAGTCCAAGGACTGCCTATATATTCAATTTTTTAGTTCTTACCTGGGCACTGGGGAGAGGGGATGAAGTTTCAAGCAATGGAGGTTCCACTTCCTGTATTGCTGGGACCGGATCCACCTCTCAGTGGTTTTTATCATGTTCTTTTAAGAAGAGGGAGAAAAATCATGTGCGGCAGTTACATCATAAACACTGAACTGTTTAATTTCAATTAGGCAGTATCTAAACATATAACTTCATAATGAAGCTAAAATTATGTGGCTAAGGACTGTAACAACCAAACTTACAACATGATATGTTTTAGGAAAAAAGAAAAAACATTAATGCACCGTTATTGGTACATTATTTACCCAAGATTTGGAGAAAGGGCAGGGGCACTTAAGCACAAATGGCAGTGAAAAGCCTCTTGATAGGCATTTGGAGATATTCCTTCCTCAGGGCATGATTATTTTCTCTCTCCAAAGGTACTGTTCTCCCATTCTTTTTATATGATAAGAGTATGAGTTGTTCAGTGGCCCTCCCTCTTATCTCTCATTTCATCAGTGGGCTACTCCATCGCAATGGCTAGACAAACAAAATTTATCCCCAAGAGTTAAGTGTTCAAATCCTACAAATCTTAAAAACCCACAAATCTGGTAGTTCCCCCCAAAAGAGAAAGGAAATGCCTGAAAGGAAAATAGTGTACATCAAATGGTTCCTGATCCTCATAATAAACTCTTCCTGCAAGCTGGTCAATATGACAGCCCTCTCACACTAGCTATTCAAACGAACTAGCACTGAAAGAGAAAGCTGATGCAATATTCTTTGATCAACTAGGAAAGGGAAATAAATCATCAAGGTTATGTCGATATACAGCCTCTGAAATAAGACCAGGGGAGATGTGCTTTCTCTAGTTGTGCCCAGGCCTAAGTAGGTGGGACTTATTTCAGTCGCCTTCTTGCTCAGAGCCCAGAAGGGACTGTCCCTGCATAACTTATACTGCTTTGGGCCTCACAGCCTGACTTCCTCTTCACATGTTGCTCTTCCAAGACAAGGCAGAGAAAATGGGACAGCATGAGTCTCTCCTATCCTTGCAGAGTTGAGTTGCTGGGTATCATAAGGGATCAAGGAAAGCCAAACCCAGGTGGGTCTATTTTTAAGCAAACAAATTTAATTCGGGGAATTTTATCTTTAAAAATCCCAAAATAACAATATTAATGCTGTCTAGTCCTAGGAGCAAAAGGAGTCAAAGTCATTGCCTTTTAGAGCAGTGCTTCTCAAAGTGGTGGATCGCAGATGAGCCACTGGTCACCAGTCTGCAGCAAGTTGCCAGGAAAGAAATAAATATATTTTCAGAAGCATAACATTGATATGTCATAGCACCACAGTTCATACGTTCCAACACTCCAGGTGATGTCACGTCGTGCGAGGTGAGGAAAGAGGAAGAAACAGCCGGTCGCGCATCTGTGTAGCGCTGTTACACGCAGTTGCTGCCACCGGCTGAACCGGGCACCAGTCCCTGGCCCACTGGAAAAAAGATTGCCAGTCCGCCACATCAGATAGTTTGAGAAGCACTGCTTTAGAGGACTCTAGTTCCTTTTGATTGCTGTTCATTTACCAATGTTTGGCTTTGAACAATGTGTTTGGCTTTGGACAATACATAGCATGAGCTATAAACTTTGTCTTGAAGGGAAAGTTTATTTCATGGAATTGCTATGTATTGTCCAAAGCCAAACACTTGGAAAAATTAACAGGATAAATACTTTGAACTCCAACAGTATCCATTACCCAATGACTTGCAAGCGGTTTGCAAACAAGGATTCTCATTCATGCCCTTGAGCCAGGGGTGGGCAAAATAGCGGATCCAGCTAGTGGTCAGACTCCATTTTCCAGAATCCCCTGCCCATATCACTGCAGCTGTTTTCCATGAAGACCCCAGGAACGGCAGGGAAATGAGTGTGGTGGGGGCAGGGTTTCAATGGAGACCAGCCCAAGCAGCACTGGCGGGGCTCAAGGCTGGGCTGGGAGTTGCTCCAGGGCCAGGATTTTGCAGTGGTGACAGCATGGGTTAGAACCGGGGCAGAAATGCAATCTGCTGCCTGCCTGCCCGCACTGCTTGGGCTGGTCTCCATGGAAGCCCTGGCCCTGCACTGTAACAGGCCTGCCGTTCCTCGGGTCTCCATGCAAAACAGCTGCAGTGACACAGGCAGGGGCTGATGGGAAATGGAGTCTGCCATGGGCCAGACATTGCTCAGACAAGCATAGCCCCGGGAGGAACCTGGGGCTGCAAATGTGTTCGAAGTTGTTTTTTTATAAAATAGATTTTATAGACTTTGCCCACCCTTGCCTTAAGCTATACAGTAAGAGATATAATCTCTATTTTATAAACAAACAAACAAACAAACAAACAAACAAAACAAACATCAGCAACTAGCCAGAAGTCTGTCAGTTCTATCAAATTTGGTAATCAGGATTTTCAATTGCTTTTTCTAAGAAACAGGACCCCCCTTCTTCCCACATCTTACCTCGAAGGTCCATTCGGTTCCCAATGAAAGCACTACATCAGGAATCATCTAATATGTGGCATAATAGAGCCAAATATGCAATGATAAAATTGTAATAGCCACTAATAGCTGGTAATGTAATTGAGGATGCTAATTATCCGGGGTTAAGAGAAAGCAGTGTTCTGACCATCATCTTTGGGCAGGAAGGGGACTGCCATCTGACGTGCTTCTCACTAGTGAGGGTGGACAGTCAGAAGGGCTTCAAGGGGGCCACATCACACAGCGAGTTGGAGCCTCTAAAGCTTCATCTAAAGCAGGATTTGGGTCTTGTCTCCATGGGAGAAACTGCCTGGGATCACTCCTTGCTTGGCTGCTCTCTCCGGGAATGAAAGCCATTTGTTCCAGAGTAAGAGCAGTTTTAATTTTGAAGTGCAGTGCTCGTGCAGAGAACTATGCTGGAATAGCCTATTCTACAATAACTCGTTAGCTTCTCCTGGGCAAAGATTATACTAGGTCATTCTTAGCTGTCAGTAGCACATGCAATCAGTCATGTTCCTCAGGAGACATCTGCACACAGACTCACCATTGCAGGCAGTGGCACACTCACCCATGCCTCATCACTTACTCGGTGGGGAGCTGTGTCCTCACATTCATGTGGCACTGAAGGAGAGTGAATGAGAGTCTGCCTGGAGCACCACATAAACATGGCTACACTGCTTCCAGCTGGGGAAGAAGTGTGCGCGGGCAGTCCAGTGCATCGCTGTATAAACAATTAAACATGTGCTAAGTTAAAATCCCTGGCTCCTTTCAGGCTTTAAATGGAGCATCTTTGCCTATGAGAAAATGGAAAGTGCCTCATCTGCTTCATGCTTCCAGAGCATGTTAATTAGCATGCGTTAGCTAACACCTTCTAACAACATGCCTTTGCATCCTGGGCTAATCAAAGCCTATCTGCCTGGTGGTGCGTGAGCGCGCCCTCATTAGTTTTGTAACAGAATTTTCTCCCCGGCTTAAATCCTCTGCAGGGACGGTGGGGCTCTCACGCTCTGCAAATAAAATCAGGTGGAGGAGGGGGGCAGGAGAGGACTCTAGTCCACTGTCTTTGGCTTTTCCTCTCCAGAAGACCAGTGCTCACAATCTGAGATCCATTCCCCCCCAGAGTTGTCTTTCTCACATTTCTACCTTTCTATTCCCCAGCTGCCCTACACTTCTGTGCCTGCCTGGCTTCCCTGTACTTCTGGCAGCTGGAAGGTTGGTACTTGCCACTAAACCAAAGCATGGAGTCCCCTGTCCCTTCCCTAGGGGATGCAAGCATCAGGGGAACATTGCTCCTCTTTAAGCATTAATGACTCATATAGTTAGGTCTTCACCCGCCAGGCAGCAACTAGCTTGGAGTTAAGGGCCTGAGGCAAAGTTGAGGTCACTTAACAGTCTAACTGTTCATTATGTGACCAGTGAAGAATGATAAATAAATCATTTACACAGTTATAAAACTCAAAGGGACAGTGGCAACCTTTCAAGGTCTCCTAATTGACCTATTAAATAATCCTGGGTCCCATTTCTTAGCTTTCCTTGATGCCATTCCTTTTATTAACCTTCTTTCTTTCCCCTTCGTTCCTCCTTACTTGCCTCCACTCCTTGTGAGTCTCCATTGCACAATGCGACCTCAGTGGAGGCCTCCATTGGGCTGTGGTTCCAGCCTCCATTTCCCCTCTCAGACCAGGACTTCTTGGATGCAGGTGTGACTGGTGCAGGCTGCAAGGATCTTCCCGTGAGATCCCAAAAAGGATGGCATTTTGGCTAAGGTGTCTCAGCTGCTTATGTGTGTGGTCCATAAGGATTTAATTACAAGGTGGAATAGGGGCAGAGTAAAAATAAAATCAATTAAGCAGAAAAATGCAGGTACAACTCATACTCGAGACTGGTGCTACCAGAATGGTGTATGACCAGTTTACTGCCACTGACATCCAGTAAGTTGCATCCAATTACACCCTGTGGAGATGGCCCCTGGTGCTCCAGTCCTGTGTTGCCTCCCAGAACCTTTGCTGGACATGGCAGACTTCTCACTTGCCAAGTACAGACAAAAGTCCCTTTGGAGTGTAACACCCTGCACTAGGTCATGTCCTAATGCAAATGGACTCTCAGTTCCACTGAAACCACAAAATGAATATGAGCCACCAATGTGATGTCGCAGCTGGTAAAGCGAGCAAAACTCTGGCTTGCATCCATAGATGGTCCTTAAGCAAATCCCAGGATGTCATCCTCCAGCTGTACTCGGCCTTGGTGAGGCTGCAACTGGAGTACTGCATCCAATTCTGGACCCCACAATTTAAAAAGGATGTGGAGAAGCTTGAGAGAGTGCAGAAGAGAGCCACGCACATGATCAGAGAGCAAGAGAATAGGCCTTATGAGGAGATACTGAGACCTATTGGACTCTTCAGCCTGGAAAAGCGCAGGCTCAGGGGGGACCTGGTGGCAGCCTATAAGTACATAAGGGGTGTGCATCAGGACCTGGGGGAACGCCTGATCACCAGAGCGCCCCAAGGGATGACAAGGTCAGACGGTCACAAACTCCTCCAAGATCGCTTCAGGCTGGACATAAGGAAGAGTTTCTTTACTGTCCGAGCCCCCAAGGCCTGGAACAGCCTGCCTCCAGAGGTGTGGTGCAAGCACCTACTCCGGATTCCTTTAAGAGACATTTGGACATTTATGTTGCTGGGGTCCTGCCCCTGGGGCAGGGGGCTGGACTCGATGATCTTCTGAGGTCCCTTCCAGCCCTGCTGTCTATGAATCTTTGTATTTTTCTTTCAGCTAATTTGACTTTTTCTGCCCATCCTTTATTTATTCAACTCATTTCACAGCTCCAGGCACTGCCTTCATGCCTTACAAAATGCACAGCTATAGAATACAAGCAACTTGGACTGCATACTCCAAGCCACTTGGCACACTGCATCCACCCCTAAGAAAAAAACATCTAGGTAGTAGCTGCATGTTCTTCCGTTTTCACCACTGCTAAGAAGATGGTAGTAAAAAAAGTAAGGAAAGACATTCCTCAGATCTCTGATCTACGGTCATGGATGCAGGGAAAATGGAAGAGGGATTGTATATAGTAGCTACATACCACACACAACAAAACAACATGTAAAAGCAGTTTGGAAAAGTTTACATTGCAACAACAGATAAATGGGGTAGATATTGTCTTGCTATTTAAAATAAATATTGACATAATTTCTAAAACTGCCAGCTACATAAAATTTTGTTTTCCAAAAATAGCCTAACATATATTTTAAGTAAATGCACATGTGCACAGAACAACTTCAACAACAACAACAACAAAAGCTATATAGAAAAGAAACCTAAGGAACTAATTGTAGCTATAACAGTAAATACTTGCAGAGGTTTCTAATTAGCAGCAGCTTCTACAAACATTAACATAAAATTACCAAAGCAAGCTTTGACTAAATTATTTTTATTGAACTGTGACAACACATACAAACAAGTTGTGTTCTAAACTGGACCCTCTGAAATGACTGCCTATGACAGCAGGGTGCTGGACTTGGTGACCCAGGGGTTCCCTTCTCCTTTGTAAAAAAAGTCAGTCCCAACATTCTGAAATGTAAGTGTGTACTCGCTGCCTAAACTGTCTTGATTGAAACAGAATTAAGCAGAAAACACCATAACATATAAACAGTGTTTCAGCTGGTATATTTCCAGGCTTTATGGTTACAATGAGCTCTACAAACATCAGTTACTCTTCACAACATCCTTGAAATACAGGCGAGTATAATTATGCTGACCATTTGTGTCCTGCTTATTTTATAAATCAGAAGTACACGTGCTTTCATCAAGCTTTATCAATATGATCCAATTTATTGTATTTTGGTATTAATTCTCCATTCCCCTCTGCTTTGATAAATACAACAGGAAATTAATTACCATAATTTACCATTTTATAGACTATATATTATGGCAGCTGCAGGTAATGGTTTTCTTTCCTTTTAAGAAAAATGGCAGCTAATAAGCACATAGAATGTTACCCTTAGGGCCCACAGTGGATATTAAAACACAGTGTATTTAATACGACTTGGAGTCCTACTAACCTGCATTCGTATTGCTACTGCCAGAGAAACTAGAGCCTCCTCAGCAGCAAGATCACCGTACTTTACATCTTGATGACCATAACAAAGTTTGCCTGTGAAAAGAGAATGTTGAGCCAATGATTCATGAAGTCTTTGAGAGTGGGAATGAGCAAGAGCAAGTCGGAGATACAGCCTCATCCAAAACAATAACTTGATACATGAATCTTTATTTTCATTTAGCAACTGATACTATAGTTAGCAGAGCAAACAATATGCTGACACGCATCAACTGATGCATCTCAAGCAAAACTAAGGAAGTTTTTCTCCTGCGCCACTTGGCATTGGTGAGGTGGCAGCTGGAGTATTGTGTCCAGTTCTGGGTGCCACACTTCAAGCAGGATGTGGAGAAGCTTGAGAGAGTCCAGAGAAGAGTCACTTGTATGATTACAGGTCAGTGAAGACCATGCCAGATATGGGACTGTTCAACCTAGAAAAGAGAAGACTTTGGGGGGATTTGGTGGCAGCTTACAAATATATCAGGGGAGAGCATCAGGGGCTAGGTGAACAACTATTTACCAAAGTGCCCCAGGGGAAAATCAGGAGCAACGATCGTAAACTCCTAGAAGAAGGTTTCAGACTAGATACAAGGAAAAACTTATTCACAGTTCATGTGACCAGACTGTGGAACAGTCTCCCAGCAGCGGTGGTGCTTACCTAGGAGATCTTCAAAAAGAGACTGGACGCACACCTTGCTGGGGTTATTTGACCCCAGCAGTCTTTCCTGCCTAGAGCAGGGGAGCTGGACCCGGTGATCTCATGAGGCCCCTTCCAGCCCTAAACATTTGTGAATCTGTAAATTTCACTGGCAAATCTACAAATAGCCCCTTATTTTCAAGTGGATACCACCACAAAGTGTGTGCAGATAAGTAAACACATGTTAATGCACATGGACAAAAACACATACATGTAAGAAATGAGAAGGAGAGAGAAAAAAGTGTCTTTCATGCAAAGAAAGCTTCAACAGGTGTTCAGATTTGGAAAGTTACATACACTAGAAATAATATACTGAACAAACAGGAAAAAGAATCCATCTGCTATTTCATATTCATATTTCTAGGGGAGGGGGGCAGGAGGGTAATGATGATATTCATATTTCTAGGGGGGGACAGAGGATAATAATGATAAGTAGGATCCTGGTTTTCTCTAATAAAAAAAAATTGGTTTAAAAAAGTAAACCAAAAACCACATTTTTCCATGATTAAAATGAAACACCACTAATATATAAAACCAGGATCCCTAATGATAATTATGGGCCCAAGCTTTATACAGAAGGTACTAGGGTTACAACTGTTTTTCTGTGGGACAATATCATTCAATGATCACTGATTAGCTAACCTATGCTAACATATTGTTGCCCTGTTCCCTCTGTCCTTTTGTTTGCTCAGCCCATCTGCTATTTTTTGCCTTATTAAATCCAGATAAGTGGTTTTCAAACTCTGGTTCACAGATCACTGGTGGTCACATATTTCACTTTTCAACCTCTTTTCAAAAAGTTTGATATTAGGTGTGGATGGTGTTCTGCAAGAAATTGATAGTTAACAGTGGTCCAAAAGGTCTGGCAAGTACCCATCTAAAATATAAAATATTCAGGGTAGAACACACTAGTTAACCTATGTTTGGACCTTGCCAGGGACAAAAGGGACCCTGATCTCAATTGCAGACCACAGGCATGAATGTCAGTGCAAATGATGAAACATTAACTCAAATCCAGACCCAGTCAAATTTTCTCTTTCTAGTCCCGGTTTCCACTCGTTATTAAACTACCACAACAATCTGGCACAATTTTCATTCTTAAAGAAAGATCCAGACATTGTGGCTCAGAATTAGGGCAGTATGCAGAGGGACCTGATTGGCATCTTCTCAAACAATGCCTAATGTATGCCATTGCTGTTAATAATGCCCTGCTTCCTCTGCTGAGCACTAAAGTTACTGAGACCACAAGGTCCTGTATACATACATATTTAGCCAAATCCAAACTATGCAGCACTTCTTTAAACATCATTGCAACATGTACCTTTGACTACAGTGACAAAACTAAACCAGTAGTAAGATGTCATCCTAGCACAAAACTCACAGTAAAAGGCCTTCCATTTGTACGAATGCTGCTTGTTTTAAACCAAGTCTTCTGGAATTTTTCAGTTAAGACCAGAAATCAGAGTTGTACTGGAACTTATAACAGTCTGGCATAATCATAAATTGACTAGGATTGCATCAAGACCATGCTGGGATCTCTGCCAAAACAACAAATGAAGTAGGAGGGATGAAGTTAAATTCCCCACTCTTTCAGACAGCTGTGCTTTACAGAAACATTTCAGTATTTTATTTGATTTGGCTTAATATGCCTCCTTTATCACAGCAGAGATAACATATGCATAAATACATATTAGACTTTGAGATTTTCCTTCAACAGAGTTCTTTGAGCTTGCATGTACTTCAAAACCTTCACAGTACACTCAGGCTTTTGCCAGGGATGAGGTGAAGTAAGCGAGGAAAAATTTGTATACTCTTAGGAAGAAAGGATCTTGGGTTGTAACAGCTCATTTACAATACATATTTCAGCTGATGGCCCAGAAGGGTGACCCTTGCACACACTATGAGGGGATTTGGACCAGGAGATCAGCACAGAATGCAGGATGATGCTCCCTCCTACAGCCCATTTCAATGATCACTTTACTTCTGGTACACAGGTTTCGGGACGTTGCTTTGAGCAGCCTCTCTGCTCAGGCAGTTGGGGTTTAAGTGGTGTAGAGGGACTTACGCAGTTTTTTTGCACCTGGCTGAGTTTCACACATACATATGTATGTCCACAGACTGGATTTTTCCAAAGAGCCTGCAGAAGTGACCTGCCTAACTCCTGTTAAACTTTGGTGCCTTTAAGCTCTTTTCAAAATCCCAGCCCTCATTTCTTAAAACATACATATAAGAAGTGTAAGATGGCAATATCGATGTAATACCATAGCTTGTATGGTACTAGGCAGGAAGTCACATCAATGGGAGTTTCTTAAAAAAATGGAGGGTTAAACCAAGAATAATTTCAAACTTGATTATACGAAGTAAAAATTCAACAAAGGAAATTCCATCACTGTCTAGCAAGCCCTTTAGCTCTGTTCTTCTGGTTTATGTCATTGCAACTGCAGAGTGGAATTAAGCCCTTGCAATTTCTTGGTACTTTTAAAATATGCATGAATACAAGGCTGAGCACACAATTATATAGATAAAAATCTAGCAACCAGCTAGCAGGAATAAAAACCATTTCATTTCTGTTGTTGACTTCAGGCTGGATTTCACTGCTGTGGCCTCACAGATGTTAAATAGGACATTTAAAGCATGAGAAAACCCAGAAAAATTTTTTTGAGAATGACAGCCAAGTAGATTCCAGCATGCATTGAAAGTAAAAAAAAAAAAAAAAAAAATCAATTGTAACACTAGCTGACTTCTCTGATATCGTAACTGCCCCACAACAGGCTTCTTAATAAATAATGTAAAATTAAACTAAGTCCATTTTCCTGTCAAACACAGATGCATGTATTATGTAGCATCTCTAATAATTCTGAATGTTTATTAAATGAGCCATGATATATTTTTCATATGCTTCCAGCAGTTCTCCTGGAGACTGACTGCCTTAGAAATATTCACGGATGACTATTTTGCAGGTAAGTAAAATAAAGCTTGCTTACTTTGTTAAAATCTTGTCTTGTCTTTCAATAAATATTATATGCACTTACAACCCCAATACTACAATTGGATTTTTGCAAAAAAACCCAAGTATATACTAAGTCTGTCATCACCAGCATGCTCCATCTCCTATATTAAGAACTGAGATGGGTCATATTAGGGATATTAGAGATGGGTCATTTATATGAGAGACAAGGATGTTATGTGAAATCTTTAATTGGACCAACTGTATAATGGGGAAAGAGATGTCTGACAAACTTTAAGGCACAAAGCAACCTTCTTCGGATCAGCTTGGTGTAGACAACTGCCAATTTCTAACTTGCATCAAACAAAGGCCTGAGTTCGGCACTGAACTACCCTCTGCAGTAACTGGTTGCCTTGAAATGGGATCCACAGCAGATGGCAGCTGAACAGGAAGTATCCAGCAGTAGCAAGAAATACACTGAAAGGAGAACTGTGGCTTAGCTCTGCCTCTCTTGGGGCTTGCATTTCTAATTGTGGGCTTCAGGAAAGCATCGACCTCCGCTGGAATTCAGAGTCTGGAATCCTTCCCTGAAGGTAGGCACTGAGGCAGTTTCTGTCAAGAACTAAAAGGGGGTCATTCACTTTTTAAAATGACAGCAGCACCTGCTACTATGCTGTGTGCCAATCTTGCTGCTGTAGGTGTACATCAGATATCCTCTGGGTTTGTCTATTATATTAAGCTCCTGAGGAAAGATAAGCAACAAATACCTACTGTGAGGACCCTGATCAGGCCTAGGCATGAGACAGATACCAAGTTTCTCAACTTTGAGAAGACAGATATCGTTCTGGACATGCAGAATCAGAACTTCAGATGCCCATGAACTTTATTGGCAAAAACTTAGTTAAACATACACTTAATGCACCTACTTAGTTGGATCGTGGCAGAAGGCAGGAAGGATTGGAACACTGTGTTCAATGGGTAATCAATAATCATCAATGGCTCAATACTGAGTTGAGAGGAAGAAATGACTGGGGTGCCTGAGGGGTTTGTCCTGGGTCCATTGTGATTTAATACCTTCATTAATGATTTGGATGATGGGACTAAGGGCATACTTAGCAGCTGTGTAGATGATAAGTTGGGTAGAGTTGCAGACACTCTGGCAGGTAGGGCTCACATTCAGAATGAACTGGAGAAACGGTCTGAAATCAACTGAATGACATTCAGCAAAGACAAATACTATGCCCAGTACTTGGCACAGAAAAAAAAAAATCACACTTCAAGAAAGATGCGAACAGTTTAGAAAGAATCTAGGATGAGAATGTGATTAGAGATCTAAGAAACATGACTTACAAGAAAAGGCTGAATGAACCAGGATTATTTAGCCTGGAAAATAAAAGGCTAAGGTCAGGGGTG